TGCAACAAATGTGTCAATTATTTATGAAAATAATTCTAAATACAAATTAATTTAAAATCCGTGCAAATTGGATACAAATTTAGGAAGCTAATAGTTGTATAATTCTTCATCAATTCTTCCAATCTTATTGAATAATTTTTTCTTTCAAAAAAATTGTGTAAATTGGATAAAGCCACGTGCAATTTTTATTTTAAAATAAAACTGATATTTGGACGGGATGTAGATTCAAAATTGTGTCAACATTGTTTGGTAACAAAAGAAGTTCATTCATTGATATTTAAAGTCATCTTATCCAATTATTTAGGAAAAATTGTGTGCAACTTTTCAAAATTTAAATGCATCGATTTTTTTGGATTATTATATTTTTTCTTAACCATCTTTTGACGCCAATAAAATATACTTAAAAATATATATTCCATTATTATTCATTATTCAATATAAATAAACGTATGCAATAATATAAGAATATTTATGAATAATTTAAAATGAAATATTAATATTAATATATCAATCCACTATCTTAATTGTTCGGATATCTGACTATAATAAAGAAGCATTACGTTATTGATATATTAATATAAAATCTAAATCTTATTTTTTTGGTAACAAATTTGGGGATTCTTATGTCAAAATTTGAATCCCATTTTTTCGTTTTATATTTTATTTTTCTTACTTAAATTTAAATCATATCTTCTTTGGTAACAAATTTGGAGATTCTAAATACAAATTAATTTAAAAACTGTGCAAATTGGATACAGATTTAGGAAGCAAATAGTTGTATAATTCTTCATCACAATCTTATTGAATAATTTTTTCTTTCAAAAAAATTGTGTAAATTAGATAAAGCCACGTGAAATTTTTATTTTAAAATAAAACTGATATTTGGAGGGAATGTATATTCAAAATTGTGTCCACATTTTTTGGTAACAAAAAACAGTTCATCATTGATATTTAAAGTCACTTTATCCAATTATTTAGGAAAAATTGTGTGCAACTTTTTAAAATTTAAATGCATCGATTTTCTTGGATTCTTATATTTTTTCTTAACCATCTTTTACCGAGATTTTGGTAAGTTCATATCATTTTTTTTTTGGTTAAAGTCATATCATTTTCTTTAGGAAAGAGACAGTTGCATAAACATTAACAATTTATTTCAATTTTTAATTAGAATGATTTTCAATTCAATTTGTTTGGTCCAAAAATCGGTGCAATGTTAGGAAAATTCGTTTGCATTTTTAAGAAAAATTGATGATTTACTTATTTGGTTTAAAAAAAATTCGGATCAATTTGTTTGATAAAAAAAATCAGTTTATTGGTAGGAAAATCAGTTTCATTTCCAGGAGTAACTAATGATTCTTTTCAATTTTTCTTAATTGAAATATAGAATTAGATTTAAAATAAATAATGGGTGAAAATCCCTAAAAAACTCTACTTTTTTTCTACTCTAATTTTGTTTAATAAATAAGATTCTTTATTTTTTTTTTAAATTTGTTAACTAATAACTAATAATATGCTATTTTGGAGAAATTCGAACACATATGTAGTACTTTACGTGCCAAAGAATCAAATTAATAATATTGTACATAAGGAAGTGTTTAATAACATATAAATCATTTTCATGAAATTTTTAATGACATGAGACAATTTAAATACAAAAATACATTTTAAAAATAAATAAGTAATAAATGCTCCCGTGCATCGCACGTGTACCGTACTAGTATAAGCTTAATAAAGTTCTTAGCAATCATCAAAATCATTTCACAGGTTCAAGTTTTGTTGAATCTTATAATTACAAACAAATATGTTGATGATTGTTTGAGATTGTGTATTTAAATTATATTGACTTTGAAACGGGTTTTTGGCTTATTTTAGGTTTTATCTAAGATAACTAATGAGACAAAAAGATTAATTTCTTTTTTTGAAAATGAGTTGGACCAAAATCTAAATTCTTACAGTTTAATTCACCGATTGGTTGAGTAAATATTCTAGGTTAGACTTCTATTAAAAGTAATGCGCCCCTCTTTTTCAGATCCTCCATGCACGTATAAATAATATTAAAATAATATTTATAAATTAAAAATAGAAAATTAACATGTTGTACAATTCACCATATATTATTATGTTTTTAAAAAAATTAACAAATGCTAACCATTTTTAATTAATTGAAGCTAATTGAAAATTATTTTTATGTAAAAACATATAAAACATGTCAATCGAAAGTATTAAAAATATATAATATATTATATATCATGTGTAAAAACTACCAAAACATTCTATGTTAATTGTGAAAAATCACTTAAAATTTTCTAAACTATTCTTGAATTTTTTTTAAAAAACATCTCTATTGTTCTATGGTATTCTTGAAGTGAGTGTCTACCTACATTAAGTAAAATAAAATAAAAAAGACATTCATTTTATTATATAATAGAATGAAATGTTTAAAAGTATATTTATTTTTATTTGAGCTGAAATGGTATTTTTCAATGACATTTAATATCGAATAAAATCCAATAAAATAAGGATTCTTGATATGATGAAATTTATATTTAAAAAATAACGTAAATAAGAATGATAGAATTATTCTTACATATTTATGTGGATTTTGAATGAGGTATTATTGAAATTAGTTTCTGATAATTAATTAATGATAAGATACATACATAACGATGTATACATTTTTTGTTTTTTTTTTGGTACAGAGGGGGGAACGATGTATAAATTTTAAATATGAACTTAAGAATTTTTCTGAAACATTCTTAACAATCTTTAGTGGTTTCTGTGTAAATATTCGAATCTTTATGATTCTGTGTAATTAGCTTAAATAATTTAAATTACAAAAAAAATAAAAAAAATAAATTATATGTTGCAAGCGGCACAATTCAAATTACTTCAAAAAAACTTCCAAATATAAAAAAAATAGAAAAATATAAATTACTTCAAAAAAACTTCCAAATATAGTAAAAATAGAAAAATATAGTTGGAATTTTCCTTACAAGAGAATATTTTTCTTTTATTTACAAGGGTGTTTAATTTTATTTAATATTAAAGTGTATATTTTTTATGATATTAAATAAGTATATGAATTTCGAATAAAATCAAGATTTTCGATAAAATAAAATTCGAATTTAAAATGTTGATAGCAATTGGAGTTATGGATTCTGAGTTTATAGGGGGCAGTAGAATGATAGTATTTTTTGACAAATTTATGTGAGTTTTGAAGACTGTGCCGTATGCATTCCAAACGGCTGGAAATCGGTCTGAATTATAATATCACACATTGGACTCTTAAGCGAAATCTCTCTTTGGTATCATAAATTTATTATAATAAAGAGAGTTGGAAAGGTCACAACAACAACAAAGTTATGCACCAAGTGTTGGTGATGACTTTAGCCACACGCTCTAGCACCCGTCCGCCGGTCGGGTCGACTCGGCTCGGGTACGGGCCTAGCCTGGGCCTGGTACTTGGTACTTGTAGTTAAGGTTGGTTAACACATAAAAAATTGCTCATTTACAACAATCACCAGTGAGTTGCTATTGGTTGGGTTGTTATTGTTTGGGTTGTTACAAGCTGTTAAAGACCAGAGGTCATTTCCCACTTGGGTTGTAGAGGAGAGACAAGATATATATTTGCAATTCACTCTCTACTGAAAGCCTCACGCATCATATCATAGACATTGCTCAGTTCTGTTCATGTTTGACAGAGCTTTGAAATCTGGTTTGTCAGAATTTTGGATTAATAATCGTTGTATCTTTGGGGACAAGACGCGTAGACCAGTTAGTAATATACGATGTGTATTTGTCTTTCGGAAAGAATTTACTCGCCTCACATTTAATCTTTCCGCTCTTAAGTTGTATTTTATTTTCAGTTTTAAATCATATTGTAAGAACTGAACACTTCAGTTCCTAGATTCCCGTGCATTCAACAATTAAATTGGAACATATTTAGGTTTTAGACGAATATTTAGATTATCTATCTTACACTGATTTACATGTGTATCTACGGTTAAAAACCCGACGGAATAATTCTGTATCAGGACTGTAGTTTTTCCTTTAACTATGAGTTTAAATCTATATATATATAATTGCTAGCTAAGCAATAAATTTTACCTAATAAATTTTACCTATGTGGCAAATCATTAATAAAACCTAATAAATAGAACCTAATAAATTTTATTTATGTGACATTAATACACCCAATCTCATTAATAAGAAAATATTTCATTACATTTTTTGGGTTAATTAAGACAAAAATCATTATATTTTATGTTAATTGATGAATAATTATATTTTTTATTGAATAATATAATAGTTAATATTAAAATTAGTAATTATATTTTATACTAAATAATATATGAAAGTTACATAAAATTATATTTTACACTAAAATCAATATTTTTTTATATGATGAAGATGTTGTTTATTAATAAACTAATTTTTTTATGTTATAGTAAAATTTCTTAAAATCACATAAACAATTGTTATAATAAATGTAATATTTTTCAGCTAATTAATTGGTTATGATCACTCAAAATTATAAAAAGTATATATTTATTGCATTTTATGCCATCAATGTAGTGATTCGTATATAATCCAATCGTTTGTACTATTTATTTTAACCAATGATCTTTTAAAATACAATACTATTATATAATTTATAATTTTAATATTATATACATAAATATAACTTATAATACTATATGTTTGAAATATTATTTACATATGTGCAAATGCACAAAGTCAAATACTAGTTTTGATTCTATCCTAAAAATTAATGTATTCGCCAGTCAAATAATAGATATATCAATCGCAGCACTTTATTAAAAGTCGGTGGAAATTATCCAAGGAACAGCTCCAAAAACGCTTCTTTGTTCGTTGGCCAAACGAAAAATTGAATGCAGTCCAATAAACGAGTAACCCCATTGCTCACTATAAATACATTCTTTTCTCGACTCGGACAAAAATATGAAATCTAAAAATTAATTCTCGTAATTCCTTTCCCCAANATATGAACGGCTCACCCGATGATGAACTACTTCCCCCTCTTGCTAGAAGGTCAACCTCTATTTCATTCAATTCAATACATTATAATTACTCCATCAATCACATTATATTAATTTCTTAATACAGATTGGACGGCAAGGTGGCCCTCATAACCGGGGGCGCCAGTGGTTTCGGCGAGAGCACCGCCCGACTCTTCGCCCGCCACGGCGCTCGCGTCGTCATCGCCGACATCCAAGACGACAAGGGCCTTTCCCTCTGCCGCGAGCTTTCGGGCCGGGCCTCTTACGTCCACTGCGACGTCACTAATGAGTCGGACGTGCGCACGGCCGTCGACCTCGCCGTCTCGGCCCACGGCGCCCTCGACGTGATGTTCAACAACGCCGGCATCCCCGGGAAGCTCGACTTCGCCATCTCGGAGGCCGACGGGGAGAACTTCCGGCGCGTGATGGAGGCCAACGCTTACGGGGCGTTCCTTGGGACGAAGCACGCGGCTCGGGTGATGGTCCCCGCGCGGAAGGGCGTGGTGCTGTACACGTCGAGCGTGGCGTCGGTGACGGCGGGGGAGTCGCCGCACGCGTACGAGGCGTCGAAGCACGCGGTGGTGGGGCTGATGAGGAGCGCGTGCGTGGAGCTCGGGAGGTATGGGGTGCGGGCCAACTGCATATCCCCGTGCGCGGTGGCCACGCCGCTGCTGACGGGGGCGATGGGGGTGGGGAGTGGGGTTGTGGATGGGATTATAGGGGCGTCGGCAACGTTGAAGGGAGTTGTGCCGACTGCGGAGGACGTGGCGGAGGCTGCGCTGTATTTGGCTGGGGATGGGGCGAGGTTCGTGAGCGGGGTGAACTTGGTGGTGGACGGAGGGTATAGTATTACTAATGGGAGCTATAGCCGGGCGATTGAGAGCGTGTTTGGGTCGCCGCCGTCCTCGTGACCGATGTTGTTGAGTGAATGAATTATGCGTGATTTAATTAGTACTGGTAATTGGGAAATATAAGTTGATTGGGATTGAGTTTTTCTGTATTTCTTTTTCAAATGGTGATTTAGTATTGTCAGCAAACTCAGCACTAAATAAGTACTAGTACGTAGCGCGTGCGATGCACGAGACATAAGTATTAAATGAGTTATTTTCACATAGCTTGTTCGTTAACTAGCTCGTGCGATTCACGGGAGATATTAAATGAGTGGACCATAGGGCTTGTCCGTTCAGGCCTAAAAAATAATAGAGTTTGATCATCTATTTTTTTACATCTTTTCATCAACGTCATTTTTTTTGTCGAAACATTAAACCTGAGTCTGGTAGCGGTAGCCCGTAAATTATCTAATATATTATCTCGCTCACATGTTTATAATAATATAAATTTGATTTCATTATATATATTTATTCCTTGATATAAGAAAAATAACAATTTTACGTAATCTTGTTCCTCGTATAATGCTCATATTATTTTATTATAAAATTTATTGCAATATAATGTCATTATTATTATTTACACAAGTTATAGATGTAGTTTTCTCTTCTTTTTGTTTTATGTAATTAAAATATTTAATGTATGTTCATTATTTATTAATGTAATTAATTTAAGTTATATAAATAAATTTAAAGTAAAACATTTTATACAAACATTTTATAAAATATACACAAATGATTTTTAGAATTTAATTTTTTATAATAAATAAACATCTTTGAAATTCTATGCAATTATTAAGGGGGCGATTGTATACAATTTGTACAGTAAAAAAACAAATCAAAACTCAAATTTAACTCAACTTTAACTCAATTCCACTATTTCTAATATTATTAATATAATTAAATAATATCAACCAATCATTCTTATACATCACATCAACTCTAATTCACTATTCATCTACTCACATAATTTTAACTAACTATCACTTCCAATCATTTTCTCCTTCTTTTACATCAAATCAACTTTAATTAATATATTTTAAATATTATTTTAATATATCCACTAACAACTAACCATACCACATTTTTTCAAATTTAACTATAGTTAAAAAATAACCAGTTTTTTACTAGTTGAATTAATATCCAATCACCCCCTAAACATCTTGATATAAATTTGAAATCATAATTGGATTCTATGCAATTATTAATTCCGTCCAATGTTATGAGAAACAAATCATTCGGAAATGTAACAAAATGATAAGGAATTTTAAAATTTAAATTTTAAATGAGACATGTTTTTACTTGAATTCTATGCAATTATTATTTTGTCCGATTTTATGCCAAACAATTCATTCAGGATTTTAATGTAACAAAATGATAAGAAATTTTAATATTTAAATTTAAATTTGAAATGAGATATATTTTTACTTGAAGTCTATATGTCTGATTTTATTACAAAACACATCAATTAAGGATGAATTAATGCAAACCCGTTTTTTAGCAACTAGTACATACCCCATGCGATGCACGGGACAAAGATATTAAATGAGTTATTTTCACACCCTTATCCGTTTATGTTTAAAAAATAATAGAGTTATTATATATTTTTTACCTCTTTTAATTAACGTTAAATCTAAAAAACAATAGGGTTATTATAAGTTTTTTTCCACATCTTTTAACCAGCATTGTTTTTTTTAGCAAGAACATTAAATATGAGCATGTTAAGGCTAGCTTGTAATTAATATATTATCTCACTAAAATATTTATACTAATAAAAATTTAATTTTAGCATATAAATTTATCCCTTGATATAAGAGAAAGTAACAATTTTACTTATTGTTGTTCAGTATATAATATTTAATTATTATTTTATTGTATAATGAAAATGAATATGTTAAATAGTGTAGTAGAATTGTTATAAAATTATATGAATTATTTTTTTTACAATATGGATTTAATATCTTTAAAAGATTTGATAATATAACAATAATATATTCTTAATGATATAATAATATGAGATACGGATTTACATAATACTATGGATTTATTCCTTAATGTTAAGATATTGAATTAGGTAATATATGATTCACTAATTTGTAATCTGTCTCTTTTTATATTGAAAATAATCATGTGATTGAGTAGAGATAACAATTATCTATAAATTCCTTCATTTAAGGAAATAATTTTTAAATTGGTCCAACTGTTGAATGCAGTCCGATTCTCTTGTAACTAAAATGAGAAGAGATTTTGAATTTCAAATTTTCACTTCAAAACCACACATAAATTTGGGTGCAGATTTTATTAAAAATAAAATGAGAAGAGATTTTGAATTTCATATTCACTTTAATATCTGTCAAAATTCTCAAAAATGAATTCAACAAAACCCATAATTTTAGGGGCATTTAATGCTACCATATTTTATGATTTAAAATATCTAAAACTTTCTAAATATGGTGTGCAATTAATTATTTTAAAATATGAACCGCTTTTGTTACCAAAAAATGTGGGTACAATTTTGAATGTACATCCCGTCCAAATATTAGTCTTATTTTAAAATAAAAATTGCACGTGGTTTTAACCAATTTACACACTTTTTTTGAAAGAAAAAATTATTCATTAAGATTGGAAGAATTGGTTAGAAATTATACAACTATTTGTTTCGTAAATTTGTATCCAATTTGCACGGTTTTTAAATTGATTTGTATTTAGAATTGTTTTCATAAATAATTGACACATTTTTTGCATAAGAATCTCTAAATTTGTTACCAAAAAAGATATGATTTAAATTTTGGTACAAAAATAAAATATGATACGAAAAAAATGGGATTCAAATTTTGCCATAAGAATATCCAAATTTGTTACCGAAAAAATAGGATTCAGATTTTGTTTCTAAAGATTTACATGTAATTTTTCGATCTTTCCATTAATAGTAAGTCAAACATTATATTATTTGGTCAAACTTTCTATTAATGTATTTTTCCAACAACCTCTATATATATATATAGATATAGATAAGATAATAATACAATTGAAAAAAATGATGGAAATAGAATGCATTAATTACCTTTGACTTTTCTGCCTACTATTTATAGTAAATATGATGATTTTTCATATAAGTATAGATTTTCGTATATATCAAATTATTTATTAAAAATTTATGATTATGTTTACTTGTGCTATGAGATCGAATAAATAATTTTTCTGTATTAATACTCGAGCATATCCTTTACGAAATTTTGGGGTAATCTGTATTGTTTAATGTATGGGAAAAATTTAATTTATAGCATTGTTTCTTCTTTCGTTTGCTTTGAATTGAGAGTTTATTGCGCCTCTGATATGTCTTTTGTGCAATCTGTATTTACAACATGGGAATAATTGGTATGAATTCAGATTGACACGTGATTTTAGTGGGAGTCATGGCCCACTTATCATGTAAGTATGGTTTATCAATGCTCAAACTGAATTGGTTGAAAAATTTTATCTATTTTTCTCTGCAAATATAATTGATGGCCAACAATATGTTGATTGGAAAATTTANTGATAGATTCTACTATCTCAAAGAGAAAGAAGAATACAAAGTCAATACAATGTGATAATCCACTTATCATAAGAAAAACCCAACTATTCCAACACTCCTGAATAGGCTTGTAAACAAATCAAATTTTTTTTATTCGATTCGATATTCGAATTCGATATTCGTGATTCGAATTCGAAATATTCGAATTCGAATTCGAATACGAATAATGTTTTATATTCGAAAGTTAAACGAATCCGAATCCGAATTCGAATTTGTAGATATTCGATTCGAAATTCGAATATTCGATTCGTTAACAATAATTATATAAATTTTATAAATTATATATAGTATACATTTTGTTTATAATATATATATTGTTATATTCCTACTAATTTTATGACATAAAAAGTAAAATCATCATAAATTAACAAATTTTTCTAAAAATATATTAAAAATAAAAATTATTTTTTGTAATTATTATTTTTTAATTATAATTTTTTTTGAAAACGAATTTTGAATCTAATCGAATATGTTCGAATATTCTAAACGAATCGAATACAAATAAAAAAATGAGTTCGTTAACGAATCGAATACGAATTCGAATCTTCGAATATTTTAACAAATCCGAATCGAATCTCTGAGTATTCGCTTTGATTTGATTCGTTTACAACCATACTCCCGAACATATGGAACTAAAAAAATATGGATGAGTTGGGTTTTTAATTGGTGATGGAGCACAGGTGTCAATATGGATATCTCCTCGTGTTCCAAATCTGTTAGGCTTTAGACCCTCCTGCTTTTTTGAGAGAGATAAAGCCAAACTTGTTAATGCGAATGAGTTGATGCTGGGGAATAGAAGAGTGTGGGATACAGAGCTGAGTAAACAAACTTTTCCCCCTCTTGGAGCCTCAGAGATTCTTAAATTTTATTTGAGTGTGGTTAGAAGGAAGAATAGATTAGTATGGGTTTTCAATGATAAAGGAAAATTTTCTGTCAAATCTTCCTCTGAGAAGTACTCAACTCTTGCCTTTGGAATACATTCTCAAATTGCAGGTACCAGTGATTTCTCACCTCAGTTGAAACGAATGTGAACCTTCACATGGAAGCTAAACATCCAACCTAAAATTAAAAACTTCATGTGGAGGCTCCTCAATAGGTTCCTAAGCACTAAAGTTCAATTGCTTAGAAAAGGAGGACCCACAGACACCATTTGTTCAATATGTGGGGAGGAACCAGAAGATATTAATAACCTTTTTGTGAAACGCTGCAAAGGCAGGAGGTGCTGGAAATTGATGGGGCTTGATTTGGCAGATTTTCAACAAGCATATTTCAATTTGAGGTTGTGGTGGGAAAATGTTTGTCAGAACAGGAAAGCCACTCTTATTAAAGATAGACTCTCCTTATCAGCGTGTCTTTTATGGAGGATTTGGAAAGAGCGTAATAGAGTCATCTTTAACAAAGAAGAGTTTCTGGTGGAGGAAATATCAGCAGGAACTAGAAAGGATTGGATTGAGTTCGAGGAGTTGAAAGTTGATAAGACCTCTGGTCAAAAGCCTATTAGCAACTCATATTCTTACCAAGAAGAAGACTTTTTCAAGAGAGTTGGAATTGTAGAAATACAATTCAGTGCTCTACCGTCTTTGGTTGGTAATTAAGGTAGGAGTTGGCCTAATAGTGAATATCAATGAAGATTATGTTTTTTAAGGGAAGCAGACATGGGCTTGGGCAGAAAACCAGGTGGAAGCTGAGTTGTTGGGAGTAAGGTGGGCTTTGGAGTTGGCATTGTAGCAGGGTTGGACAGAGGTAAGATGCTTGATCAACTCTAACAAACTTGTGGACATTTTGAGTGACTCAAAGAGGCTGTCTGACTTTGTTGGGGGATCTAAAATTGTTATTGAAGATATTATGGACTTGGTTAGGTGTCTTAACTTTTGTGTGTTTAAGCATGATGTAGTATCTTTTCAGTG